TTTTCACTTGGGTAAGATACCAAGGTTGAGTACCTACTTTAAATGGGTGGGATAAATATCCAGGCTGACCCTTCCTTGACCCTTACACTAGAGTCATAATTTAGCTTTAGAAGGGATCTTAAAGACAATCAAGTCTAACCTCTCATTTTATAGATGAGCAAGTTGAGGCACACAAAGGTTAAGTGGTTTGTCTGAAGTGGGATTTGAGCCTAGGTCTTACTGAATTCAAGTCTAGTGCTTTGCCCACTAGTCTAGGCTACCTCTCTTATACTACCCCACTGGGAGAGCCTGGATGTATAACAACAATGGTGGGATAACTAGACTCAGCTTGAAAGTAGGGTATGAGTCAGCCTCATAACTTAAATTATACCTTCATTTGGTTTCATGCAGTCAGCCTTGACCATGAGCTGACAGTAAGGACTGATCTGGCTTTTCTGTCCCAGGATTGCAAGGAGGACTGAATGTGTTCTAGATGTTGGAGGGGGTGGGGGGGTGGGGAGAGGGAGGAGGTAGGAAAGGAGAATGAATAGGTTTTCTTTTCATTTTTCTTGAGGCTACTTTTCTATTGAATCAGCATAACCAAAACCTAGTGTTGCATTGCCAGTGACCTAGGAGAGGGTCTCTTAATAGTTATTTAGTGGGAACAAGGTCCTATATCCCTTTGACAGTCTGGTGAAGCCTATAAACCCCTTCTCAGAATAAAATTTTTTTTTTATTTTTTAAAATTTATTATTATTATTATTATTTTTGGTGAGGCAATTGGGGTTGAGTGACTTGCCCAGGGTCACACAGCTAGTAAGTATCATGTGTCTGAGGTTGGGTTTGAACTCAGGTCCTCCTGACTAAAGGGCCGTTGCTCTATCCACTGCGCCACCTAGCTGCCCTGAGAATAATTTTTTTTAAATGCAGAAAATAAAATACATAGGGTTTCAAAGGAAACCAATTACATCAAAATACAATTATTAAAATATAAAAAAATAAGTTCATGGACTTGAGGTTAAAAATCCTTGGCCTAGGTCACTAAATATCCCTTTCCCCCATCTTAGGGCACTTTCTTCCTAAAACAGGAACCAGGAAGAACTCCTAAATCCATGATTTAAAGAAGCTATCCTGGATATCATCTGATTTTACATAATTTTAATTTCACTATATATGAATATAGGCTCCTTGGGAGAGGGGATGAAGAAAGCATAAGCTCTTTTCCCCAGCACAGTCTTTATTTTCAGCTCTACATTCCCTTCAAAGAATTCTTCAACCATGCCACAGCTCCTAAAACGCTAAGCCACAGTCATATACACCCTACTCTTAAACCAGGTACTGAACCTCCTTGGGGGGCAACTAGGTAGCTCAATGGATAGAGTGCCAGGCTTAGAGTCAGGAAGACAATCTGGCCTCAGACATTTAGTAGTTGTGTGACCCTGGGCAAGTCACTTAACCCTGTTTGCCTCAGTTTTCTTATCTGTAAAATGAGCTGGAGAAGGAAATGGCAAGACCACTCCAGTATCTTTGCCAAGAAAACCCTAAATGGGGTCATGAAGAGTTGGACATGACTGAAACAATGGAGCTGTATTCCCAGCTTCTAAGAAATAGAGACCAAGGGGCAGCTAGGTGGCATAGTAGATAGGGCTCTGGTCTTGGAGTCAGGAGGACCTGAGTTCACATCTAGCCTCAGACACTTGAAACTTACTAGCTGTGTGACCATGGGCAAGTCACTTAACCCCAATTGCCTCAACAAAAAAAAAAAAAGAAAAAAGAAAAGAAAAATACTTAAATGCCACCAAAATCATCTACCAACAAAATGCCATTGTTGTGGTGAGAGATTAGGGGAGGAAATATAGGGCATATTTCTCTCTCTTTTTTCTCCTCTCATACCCATAGCATCTAAATTCCATTCCTGCCTCAGACATTTACTGCATGACCTTGGGCAAGTCATTTGACTTTTGTGGTCCTCAGTTTCCTCATCTGTAAAATAGCACTAACCTCACAGTGTTATTGTGAGGATCAAATGAAATAACAGATACAAAATTCTTTGCAAATGTTGAAGTGCTGTGTACACATTAGCTTTTTATTGTTGTTGTTACTGCCAATGATGATATTTTTGTTATTCCTGTCCTAGGAGGCTGGACAGGTGACACCAAAGCAAAGGAGGTCCCAATTCAAGAAGGCACCCCTAAATTTGTCAAGGCTGATTTTCCTTTTAGCCTATTAACTGCATGAGGTTGTCAGATTATATCAGGCCCTTCTCTCTGACTCTCTTCTTAACCTTCTACCTTTTAATATCCCTCTCTTGCTCTCTAGGTAGCATAGTAAAGTGGAAAATGCACTGGGCTTGGAGTCAGATGACCTGGGTTTGAGTTATAGTTCTGATACTTGCTATCTATGTGACCTTGGGCAAGTCACTTCCCTTACCTGGGCCTCAATCCCCATCTGTAAAATGAAGAGTTTGGACTGGAAGATCTCTTATGTCCCTTTCAGAGCTAAATCAACATTTCTTAGATCCTAAGTATGAGTTTAGGAGTAGGTCTTGGACTTTGCCGAAGGTATAGAAGTATTTTTTTTAATGTCACTGGGGGATGTTTTCCTAGAATGAAGAAAAGACACAAATGAATACTTCATTACTATCTTAAATGAAAGACAAAGAAAAAAGAAAAGAGACAACAAGAAAGGCCTCTTACCCCACCCCCCAATCACACATTCATAAATTTAGGGTGATTGTTGAAGGCAGCGTTCACTGAGAAAATTACCTGCCCACTGATGGCTATTTAGCAAAGCAGCTAAAAGATCCAGGCAGGTTAATAAGCTTTGACAACTGGCTGCTCTGTCTCATTTTCCCCCCACAGCTTTCTGAAACACTGTGCAGATATTTAACTTATTGATATTAATGTTGTAACAGCTTCCCAGGTTCACCCTGTGAGTTATCAAGTGCTCTGCAGTCAGTCCTGCCTTGTTTTGTGCCCTTGAGCTCCTTCCTGTTCCCAAGCACAGCCCCAACACGCAGAAAACCAGGTCACAATTTTTTTTTGGGTCTGTTTCCTGATTAATGCTTTTAAGTACAGGTGCCTTCCTTTCAGTTCATGCTTGAAATCAGAGAGAGAAATTCAAATCTGGGAGTTTGGTAGAGTTTGAACTATGAAAATGACCTAAAAAGAGCATGGGGACAGGGGTGGGGGTGGGGGAAAGAATAAGCGTTCCATTAGACTATTTTATTTCTAGCACATGGGAACTTTGCAGTCCTATTTTCATGAAGGAAATTGTTTGTCTATAAAGTAATGGAAGGAATTGCCCAACACTTAGGAAAGTGGGAAGCGAGGAGATTCAAGCAATGGTTCACAGGCATTCATACATCCATAGTGCAAGGCAGAAAAAGTAATCACTCTCACTCTGTTCAGTGTGGTATTCAAACCATAAATAGATTAGTAAGAGATTGGCAAAGGAAATGGTGACTGTTTAAAGTTTTTGATGGCTTACTTCTTAAAAAGCCAACCTTAATATTTATAATCCAATACTGTATTTGTTTGTCACTAATTTACAAGAAGAAACTAGTAAATGCTATTGGCTTGACTCAGTAGCCACTTATTAGGAGGGGGGGTACATGGTACAAATAGTTATAGCAGAGAAAGATCTTAATATTGATTTCTGTTTGTGTTTCTTAATGGAAAACAGCTTCCACACAATACAATAATTATTGATGGGTAAGATCTCATATTGGAAAGGTCATTGCAACTAAAGGGTGCTATGATAATAAGTCCGTGCAGTATCCAAGGGCATTAACAATGGTCCATAAAAAGCAATCAGGTTAAAAGCAGATGCCAGATAATGATACAGCTAATGATTCCATATGGAACATGATGGGATCTTGGAGCCAGAACAATCTTCCTAGTTGGATGAATGTGTCTTTTGTAAAGTAAACATACTACTCTGATGCTCTAGTCCTATGACATTTGTCTTGTGCATGGTGTGGCAATCAGACATGCAAGCAGGATGGGCAGCAGGAAAAAAACAAGGGAAGTGAGAAATTCTGAAACTCATTGATACAATGAAATAAAGATCCAAAATGAAACAAAGGATAATTGAAAAGGAAGTGGTCTGGGAGTCAGATAAGTTGGAATCTATTCCTGACTCTGTCACTAAATCACAGTGTGACCTAGGAAAAGTCAAGATTGCATGAAAAGATTCCATCTCTTTTGGTGAGTCAATGAACAAGTATTTATTAAACACCAACTGTGTCCCAGGCATTGTGTTAAGCACTGGGATATAAAGAAAGGCAAAACCAGTCCCTGTCCTCAAAGAGCTCACAGTTTAATAGGGAAGAATTTATTTTTTGGGCTGCTATAGTATACTATTGACCCATATTGTGCTTGTATTCTGCTCACATTCAAAAAAGTCAAAAAATACTTCCAAAAGTGGAACTCCCAAAATATTTTATTAATCATTGTAACATCACTGGACTAAGTGTGCAGCTCCCAAGCGTGACTATTTTTAAAGACAATACTCATTTGTGTGTGTAATTTATGGCTCATGGAAATGCAATGGGCATACTCTGATGCCTAATCATGGCATGGATGTGACCTTCGGTTCTCAAAGATTATCTCAACAGAGCACAAACTTCTACTAGCTCTAACAAGCTGTAAAGGCCTCTAAAATGGAGGGGGTAGTCCTAAAGTCATGAATTTCTTTGACCTCAGCAACTTATGAAACCATGTACTGTGTGGTGGATAGGTTGTTATCTGCATCAATGGAGGATTTTGTTTTGTCTTTTGTTTTCAAAGAGGACCAATGATATTATGGGGTGATGTCTTGACTTGAGAGTGAATTGGATTTAAGTAAGTTGCACAAAGTCATCAACTTGACTCTCTTTCAGAGTCATCAAAGTCCAATGGCAAGACAAAAGTCAGGACAACTGGTGATGTCCAGGATACAGTGGATGACCTTGGCATCTTTGATGTCTGACCAAGCTCTGAGTGCTCTACAATGCTTGCTTTAGCTGCCTTCGTGACTGTTGGAACAAATTGTTCTCATCTGCCAATTCTGTCAGGGGGGAAGTTTTCACATACTTGAGGTAAACATCTCCCTAACTCACCTACAGGTTTGAGGCCTGTGGTTTACCCTCAACCTAATTTAGCCTGTTTGCTGAGGTGGTTTTACTGGGGTGTGGTTGCTGCTCACATTACAGCTTCTTGGAACCACAGATAAGAATTGGGTGACCAACTAGACACCAAAGATGGATGAGCAGGCCTGAAAAGAGCAAGGCAAGTCCTTACGCCAGAGGTCCTAGTCCTTCCTTAACACCCTGTGGAGGAAGTACCAATGTGAAAGAAATCACTGGTCCTTGAAGGGATGAAATAGATTTACAGCATATCATTCGTTCATAGCCACACCTTAGTTACTGTATAGTGGATTATATTCTTTTTTTGGTGTGTGTAGGAGATAAGTTACTGGCTTGGGCTCCTGACTGATACTACCTGGTTATATGATATGAACTGAGCAGTTCTGATGCCACTGTTTGCTCTCACAGCTGGGGCCACTGTGAGTAACTTTAGTGAGTTAGATGACTCAACTTGGTAATGACATGCAGTAGTCAGTTCCTCAATGCCTTCTTGGATTTCTGATAATCATTAGCTATCACCTGAACTGCTCAAATAGCCTCCTACTTGGTTTCCTTGCCATCAGTATTTTCCCTTTCCAATGTGTCCTTCACATAAGGATAGGAACTAGGCCTGTGGTTACATTGATACAGGAAGCTTCTGGTGAGGAACTTCCTCTACCAATAACAATAGTTAGCATTCATATAGTGCTTTAAGGCTTGTAATGCACTTTACACAAATTATTTCATTTGATCTACACATCACCCCTGTAAGATAGGTGCTTTTATTATCTCTACTTTACAAATAAGGAAACTGAGACAGAGGTTAAGTGGTTTGCCCAGGATCACACAACTCTAAAAAAGTGTCTGAAGTAGGATTTGAACTCAGGACTTTCCAACTCTAGGTCCAATGTTCTAACCCCTTTACAGGATTTTTCATAAGTTTGTGTGCACTGTATCCACATTGTTCATGAGTTTTGATATTTTAATCATGTTCCTTCTTACAGTTGAACATTTTAGAGTATCTCAGTCTTTTTAGTTTGTCTTCATATAGCAATTTTCCTTCTCCACCTGACCCTCCCCCCCAAAAAATAAAAAAGAAACAAACTTTCATATCATTTTAGTTGGAGGTTAACACCTCTTATGCAAATTACAGTCTAAGAGAACTAACTTGATCACTGAGAATTTAAGTGACTTGCCCAAGGTCATACTGCCAGTCTGTATCAAAGGTATGACTTGAACTTAGGTATTCCTGACTCACAGGATGTTCTTTTTTTTTTTTAAGGCAACTGGGGTTAAGTGACTTGCCCATGGTCACACAGCTAGTAAGTGTCAAGTGTTTGGTCTGAGACTGGATTTGAACTCAAGTCCTCCTGACTTCAGGGCCGGTTTTCTATCCACTGCACCACCTAGGTGCCCCCACAGGGTGTTCTCTAATCACACAGGTGTCAGACACTGGCAATTAATGGTCTGAAAAGTCCCCCAGTACAACCAGAACCAGATTAAAATGTAATTGAGAAATATTTGACACAATAAATAAAAATACAGTACAATATAGATAATGGTAATTTCTGTTTTTCTAAGTCAATATGCAGCTCATAGGTATCAGTTTCTATTTGAGCAGCACCCCTGCCCTACACAGTATGCTTTCTCTTCTCATTGTAGTTGCCCAAATAATCTTTCTAAAGCATTTGTTCAGTAGTTTCAGTTGCATCTGACTCTTCATGACCCCATTTGGGGGTTTTCTTGGCAAAGATACTGGAGTGGTTTGCCATTTTCTTTTCCAGCTCATTTTGCAAACGAGGAAACCGAGGCAAACAGGGTTTAGTGACTTGCCCAGAGTCACACAACTAGTAAGTGTCTGAGATCATATTTGAACTTAGGAAGATGAGTCTTCCTGACTCCAGACCTGGCACTCTATCCACTGCCCAACCGAACTGCCTTGATTACATATTACTTCCTCTTACATACTCTGTGTTACAGCCGAGCTAACTTACTTGGTATTCTTCATGCACAGGATTCCATTTCTCATTTCTGTGCCTTTGCAAAGACTGTACCTCATCTTTGGAATTGTTTACTACCTTACCTTTACCTCCTGGAATCCTTGAGGCTCAGTTCAAAGGTGAGCTTTCAGAAGGATATTCCTTTTTCAAAAGGACCTTCCTAATTGCCCCATTTGTTAATATCTCATCCCATCCTATCTAAGTTACCATTAACTGTTTTATGCATAACCTATATTTACTTATCTTTGAATGTAATGAGGCAGCTGGTAGCATGTTGAACCTGGAGTCAGGAAGACCTTCCTTATTCCTTATTCTCTCCCTTTCCCTCCCCTAGATCAACATCTTATATTCATCCTACTCCAAAAGCAGCTCACCTCCTTTAGGGGTGTGTGTGTGTGTGTGTGTGTGTGTGTGTGTGTGTGTGTGTGTGTGAACAGACTTCTGCAGGCAGTACAATCTGGGTAGAAATTACAGAGCTGTGGATTAACATACCTCTGTGGGTTAAAAAGGCAGAAATAATTTGTTCTACCTCATAATTATAAAACATTTTTTAAAAGTGGTTTTGAAGTGATGAAGGAAAGCAAGGAGTTATAATACGACTTCTCATTTCTATCTAGTGCAATACTCCTCTATTTGTGATGGACATACTCATTTCTCTTAGTTCTTTTTATAGAAAGGCTGGAAACATTGCAATTATATTTTCTCTGAGCTCTAATACTGTTCCAAGTTAGCAGTAACTATTGAAACAAAGTATAAGGTTTTCATTTCAATTGTTGTGTTATGTTCTTTTACATCTTCATGAACAATAACCTTCTGCTTCACGGGTTGATGGACTTTTTTTTTTTTTTGCTGTGCTGAGGAGCATAAAATCAAAATATGTTTTTGATTGAATTGTAACTCCGATTATAACTCCCTTACTCAAAAATCTTCAATGGATCCCAGTTGCTTTTAGGTCAAAATACAAAATCCTCAGCTTGTTATTTAAATCCCCCTACAATCTGGCTCCTATCTACCCTGTCAGTCTTATTTCATATAATCCACTTAACATACACTTTCCGTTCCACATATACAGTGCTCTATCTCTTGTCTCTACCTTTACCGAAGGGGTCTCTTATGCTTGGCATGTACTCTTACCCCACCTTATTCTCCCAGAATCCTTAGCTCCCTTACTTTCTACATGAGGCCTTTTCTTGTCCCCTCAGTTATTAGCACTATGACCCTCTTGAAATTGTTTTGTATTACTTTGTATATGTTCTGTGTTTTCTTGTTTATGCATGTGCCCCTAGCCTTGTAGAATTCCAATTCCTTGAGAACAGGGCTGAGGCAGCATTGTGTAGTGGGTAGAGGGCTGGATTTGGTTGTGACCTCATTTTCTTCCTCTCTAAAATATAGCCCTCTACAGTCGCTTTCAGCTTTAAATCTATAATCCCATGGCTGTTTCATTTTTCTCTTTGCATCACTAACATTTAGCACAGTGCGTGGTTCAAAGCAAATGTGATGCTTAATAAATGTTTGTTGAATAGAACACAGTAGAGATTTCAGAAGGACTTAAACACTTTTCCCCCCTTCCCCCCCCCCCCCCCCCCCCCCCCCCACAGTAGAAAGACTATCAACAGCACAGGGCGTGAAGTTTGAGCAACTTCAGATTCTAACTTAGCCTAAAAGAACTTCTGGCAGAGGAAGATCACGGTTAATCTATATGATCAATACTCTCAGACTTAAAATCCTTCAACATCACAGTTACTTCTCTAACTATTGCCTTGCAATGATGCTGGGAGAGGGAGATGGGCCTTGTGGGGCTCCAGTGGACTTCGACCAGCTGACACATATTACTGCTTTCAGACGTAGATCACTTCCTTTGGTCTCACATGGTCCTGCATTTCTTCTTGGTTGCAAAGAAAAGCCCTTCCCAATTTGCAGTCTGGGTGATGAGTAGCATGCCCCTGTTGTAAGATGATTCATGGAAGGAGAATTTTGTTCTGTGGCTCTTATGCTCAGACATGTTAGGACCCTCCCTGCAGTGTGTCTATGCTACAAAAGAAAATGGCTTTTATAGATTGGTTAGACCTTGAAGTGAAGGAAACATTCACATAGAAGAAAGCCAGTAATACATGAAGGAAATTGGTGGCATCTGATAATGTCCTTGATGGAGATTTATCTCTGGCAATAGAGGACTGGAGAATGTAGTATTTTGACTTATTTGAATTTTCTTATGAAAGCAACAACAAAATAAAGTTCCTGAGATATCACCTCACACCTATCAGACTGGATATTATGACAGAAAAGGAAAATGACAAATGTTGGAAGGGATGTAGACAAATTGAAACACTAATGCACTATTGATGGAGTTGTGAACTGATCCCCACCATTTATTCTGGAGAGCAATTTGGAATTATGCCCAAAGGGCTATAAAACTGTACAAATTTTTTGACCCTGGAATACAACTACTAGGTCAGTATCCCAAAGGGATAAAAAAAGGGAAAGGGATATATATCCATATATACACATAAATATTTATAGCAGCTTTTTTGTGGTAGCAAAGAAATGGAAATTGAGAGGATTATTGTTTAGCTATCTGTTCTTCAATCCCATACTTAAATTGATTTTTTTTAAACAAAAGTGTAGAACTTTACTTTCTTCTCAATTAAATAATATCCTATTATAGCTGGCTCATTATATAAGTCTTTCAAGATCTTTTTGAATCCTGTCTGTCATCCAGTGGTTTGTTCTCCCTCCCAACTTTATGTCATCTGCAAATTTGAAAACATATCCATTGACGTACTACTAGTGTTCAGACTTAAAGCATTCATTTTCCTACCTCTCAGAGCCCAGATAGTAAAATGCTAGAACTGAAGGGGATTTTAGGGATTAGCTAGTCTGATTTGCTCATTTGATGGGGCCCAAAGAGGTTCAATCAGGCCTTGGGTCTTGTGCTGAGCCTTTAATTGAGCTCTCCTTGCTCCCAAGTGAGGGCTCCATTATACCACAGTTATATCTTATTTCACCACTTAGACTTCCACGTGGTGCTAATTTAGTGTTTTACCTATATATATATATATATACATATACATATACACACACACACACACAAATACATACATACACACATATACATATACATGTTTTGTTTTATACACACACATATATATATTTATACATACATACATACATACATACATACACACATATATATATATGTTTTATCTTCCTTGCTACATTGTAAGGTCCTTGAGGGAAGGAGTAGTGTCTTGACTTCCCCTTAAGGCCTCAATGTTTCTAGCACTATTATTTGCACAAGGTAGCTACTCATAAATATTTATTGAAACCCTTACGCAAATTTCCAGGGACTAGTGAGATAGTTGTGAGTAGGGGGTGGTGGCTTGGATAGAAAGGTAGCATTAATCAGGGAAGAGATGGATTAATGGGGATAGAAGGTTCCCTCTGGGGCAACCATTACCCCCCAGATTGGAAGGTGAGACTACAACAACCTAAACCAAAAGAAAGGCCTAACTGCTAATGGACTCCTTCCTCCCTCTCTTCCTCTAGTTGCTACATGGTCCAATGTCATCTTCTTTCTTTTCCCTTCTCTCCTTCTTTTACCTGTTGAGGAAGAGTTGGGGAAAAAACAAAACAAAACAAAACAAAACAACCCAACCAAAACCAAACGTCCTATTTTCCTAAGTCTCACTGTAGATGACATTTTGTAAGCTAGATACCCTTTTTTATAAATTAGTTTGTTCCCATTGGCTACAGGTATGTCATTCCTTGAGATCAGAGGATGGAAGGAGGCACTGCTTTGAGGAGTTTTTTATTTCACAGAACATCTGTGCTAGCATCTTGCTGTTCTAATGTGGAGAATAAAAAAAACTCTCTGGGACCTATACAGTTTTAGTTTAGTTTATGAATGCTGGTACAGTGGATAGAGAGCTGGGCCTAGAATCAGGAAGACCTGAATTCAAGTCCAGTCTCAGACACTTATTAGCTGTATGACCCTGGGCAAGTCATTCAACCTCTGTCTATCTCAGTTTCCTCAATTGTAAATGGGGATAATAACTTCACCTACCTCTCAGGTTTGTGGTGAAGATCAATTGAGGTAATATTTGTAAAGCATATAGCACAGAGCCTATGCTTGTTCCTTTACTCCTTTCCAAGCAGAACTCTAAAACTTGAACTTAAATTTACCTGAGAGGAATAAGCCATTGAGGGAGGAGGAGGGAGAGCCAAGAGGGACCAGAGGAGAAAGTCCCTCCTATGAGTCTGCCCAGTAGCTGTGGTCTGTGGGGGATTTCTAAAAGGGAGGGGAAGGCGAGGAGAGCAGAGGGTGCAGAACATTGTGAATCATGGCAACAATTAGTGTCACACTTGAATGACTTGAATGTGAAGCTGGGATCTACTCGTTTCTGATCTCAGCACACCAAACACATCTTATGGTTTACCCAAGATTATACTATTCTAACTGTAACAATTTCTGCAACTGAATGTGGTATTGATATGGATGGATTCTAAATAGTTTGATATGGGGGTTTTAGTTACTATTGGATTTAAAGTACAAAGTTATTCACAATAGACTTGACTCCTCTCATCCCAGAAGTTCTAAGTGGGTGAGTTTTAAATAACAGTTGGTAAGTGCTTCTGGTCTGTACTCATTATATAAACCTCATAAGAAGTTAGTTTCTTCTCTAGTCAGCTGGTGGAACATTATACAAGTCTATTGAAGGATCAGCTTTGTTTGAAGACCTGAAGCCGGAGCCACTTAAGCAGACCTCAAATGCATATGTTACTAGAAACTTAATAAAAATTCTGAAAGGATATTTATTCCAAATTTCATTCATCATCTCATGCTTGGAGTTCATTCATCATGACTACTTTGTGTTCCTCTTTAAAAAACAAAACAAAACAAAACAAAAAAATCCCTTTATCAGAAACTCTGATTCCTGCAAGGCACATTGTAATATGTCCATATGGCACATTTTGCAACTAACAAAGGAAGAAGGAAATAACATCCTCATCTTTGTCATTTACTCATCTGCTCTCTTTATTTCACTCAGAGGATTTCATCAGAAATGAGCCACAGCACTAGTGGAAGCTGCGGAAGGAATGTTGGGAAGACATTAGTGAATGCAGATGTTTGAGTAGAGTAAGGCTCCTAAGTAAGTAAGATTTAACGTTTAATACCACCAGAGATATTTTTTTTCCCTCTTTCCAATGATTTCTTTTGGGGGAAGGAGGAGGAACCAATTGTCATAATAAGCGGTAGAAGTGAAGGTTGAGTGGCCTCCTCAGTGACTCAAGCACCATGGTAAAAACCAGAAACTACTTTATTTGGGGAACAGTTACAGCAAATGTTCATAACCCTCAAAGTGTACTGGCTTGATTTTATTAGCCTTGTCAAGACACTATTAGAAGACACCCTGTTTTCTAGAGCTAAGGCCTAGTAAGTAAGCTGCGCCTGAGCTTGGCATAACCATCACATCCTTTGAACTCACCCTCTGGATGAACACTGCTGCAAGTAAATCACAGAATTAATGGGCCCTGTGCTTGGGCAAGCACCAACAGGCCCAGACATGAAGCCCTGCTATGAATGGACTTTTTGTCATTAGACAACCTTGCCTCACTGTTGCTGTTGTGCCTCACCACAGTTCCTACACTATACTGTTTGACTCTTTGTCTAGTCACAAGTATATAAATCAAGGGTCAGTCCCACTGCCTCAGATCACCCCTCTAAGGGTGGGGCTCCAGCACATGTATCTTGTTCCTTCCTTGCTTGCAAGCTGTTTCCCTCACTTCGAAATTAAACTTCTGTTTGATTCCTGACTCTCCTGTCTCTAGCCTGCTCTGTTTATAGGTTAGAGGCTGGTTCGGTCCAGTTGACAGCCCGGTGTGACTAAGATGGTATTGGCATTACAGATGCATAGATGAAGACCTTTTCTGAGTCAAAAGAAACAGGTTGAAAGGTAGTCTTGGTAAATTGATATAATTCATGTCTAATTGCAGAAAAGATGCAATCTTTATTTTATTTTTGACACTGCCCTTTCTCCTACCTGACATGTCTGAGCCTTGCTGATTTGAGCTCTGAAATATCCCTCCTATCTCTCCTCTTCCCTCTATTTCCATTGTCCTTTTCTGATTATAAATTTTCATTACCACTTGCCTGAAGGGTTACTACCCTACTACTATCTCTAAGAGATCTTCATATCTGTGTTTATTCCTCTTCTCTGCAAGCAGGTAGGGTCCAAGAATACTGGCCACTCACCCCTATCTGCTCTACCACTGTCCGTGACTGCTGCCATCTCTTGGATCCTATAGTTCCTTCTTTTCTGAGGCCACATGGTTCCTTCTCTGGGAACTCTTTTCCTTTGCTCTTCTATCTTTGCCTGGTCACAGCCACGATTCCTGGGGCCTGCTGGAGTCACTAGAGGATGGGAAAGGGGAGTCCCTTTATTTTGCATTTAAGCTAGCAGGGGACACTGCTAGCTAGTTGCATGATCCCATTCAGTTATATGAGATTCATGCTGTTGTTACTTACAGCTGCAGAAACACAAGACTTGGAAGGCGAAGTTATACAAGCAAGTGGCAAAGTCAGGTTTCAAGCCCAGGTCTTTTGACTTCAGTGTTGTTTTTACTATTCCACAAAGATAGTTTCTCTCTCTCTCTCTCTGTTTCTCTCTCTCTCTCCCTCTCTCCCACCTTCTTTCTCCCTTTTCTCTCCCCACCTCTCTCTTCCTCCTCCTCTCTTCTTTGTTTTTTGTATCTTATATAAATGTTTATGTATATATATTTATAATGAATATATATAGATAAAAATATATCCCCATCTAAGTATATATCAATATCCATATCTAAAAAATGTCAAGAATTCTGAGTGTTCAACTGTTTTTTTTTTCTGCTGCAGAAATTTGTCAGGAACCTATAGAGAAGCAGCTTAAATAAGCATATAAGGGTTAACTTGCAAACTAGAGACTGGTAGTTTAGTGATATGATCCTGGTCTTCTAAGTTTTTGACCTTGTTTCTGTTTCTTCTGCTTTCAGCATGGGGCCTGAGTTCCTTGCTTCTTAACCCATCCTGGTAAGTTATCTAACCTTGATTCCTAATGGTTTCATTTGCTACACCATTTTGTTACGGCTTTTGTGACCTTGTGTTAGACTTTGACTAGGATAAGCCATGGCCATTGGGACTTTTGATTAAGGATTCTTTGACTACAAGAACAGTCCAATGTTAAACCATAACATATTCTAAAAATTTACATATTTGGTGAACCAATGCACATGCATACTTCAAGATCTCCTAAAAATTAAAGAACTAAATTATACCATTCATTCTTCATGTGATGACTATAAATGCCTTTCATGTGATTTTACAATTTTCATTTCACAAAACGACTGTGACTGATGTCTAGCCATGGAAACTAAAGCAACTCCAACCAAGGGTCAAAATAGGAATGTAAAACTTTAACCTGGGCTTTAGCTCCAACAACATACTCCCTACAAAGGTCAAAATTCAACAAATGCGAATTAGCACACCATCTCTATTTTGAACTAATAAAATTTAGATAAGATAGAGTCCCTATCCTCAAAGAACTTAAAGTCCAGTAGGGAGGGGAAGGGAAGAATAATATTCTGATATTACTAGGGGAACATCTGTATGGGAGGAGATTTTGTTTAGATTTTAAAATCTTTTTCTCTCTTGTTTTAGATTTAATTTTTACTAGGCTTTTTTCAATTGTTTTTTAGTTGTGGAGGAGGGGCTGGGACAAACCCTTGCAAATATTATCCTAGTTTGAGGCTAGAGAAATATTGCACATTTGTATGTTAAGTGTGAGTATAAATATCAGACATTCATCTCAGTAAGTTTTGAATTCCCATCAAGGATTGTTAATTTGGAAAGAGTTTGAGAACTTTGATACCATGAAAAGAATTTTACTTGTTTCTCTGAAATCTTTAAAGGTGATGGAAGGCACTGGGTAAGTTATTCAGGAATAAGTGAGCTGCCTGGCATTGTGGAACCTTCTTAGGTCCCCAGAAAGATACTCATAATTGGGGATGCTGGCCATTGCACCCAGAAGTATTCTGTTGTGATTGTCAGGGACTATAAATGTTTAACAGGGAAAAGAGGATAATGAATGTGAATAAGAGTAACTTAACATGTATTAGACCTTTGTTTGGGACTTCATTATATCTTCTTGGAAGGTGTATCATCATTTTCATGGAGAGGTTTATATCAACCAAGAAAGAAAAAAAAATCAAAATTCTGAACAAATGTTTTATCCTTTATCCTTGTTAAATTGTCTAGATTAACTTCTGGTCAACCCCTTTATAATACATGGTGCCACATGATAAGTGCATTGGAGAGTTGCAAAATAAAATGTTATATGAGGGAAAAACAAAGAACAAAAACAAATACAAATACAAAAAACAAAGAAGAGAGGAGAAGGAAGAGAGAGGTGGGGAGAGAAAAGGGAGAAAGAAGGTGGGAGAGAGGGAGAGAGAGAGAGAAACAGAGAGAGAGAGAGAGAAACTATCTTTGTGGAATAGTAAAAACAACACTGAAGTCAAAAGACCTGGGGAGAAATGGGGTCAGAGAAGTCTTCATGGAAAGGTGGTATTTGAACTGAGATGAAAAGGATGATAGGAATTTAATAGATGGAGAGGGAAGGCGGGACATTTCAGGCCTAGAAAATAGTGTAAGCAAAGGTTCAGAGATGAGAAAATACATAGGATGTGTTTGGGGGCATAGACAGTATACAGTTTGTACTATATGTTATACCTTCTAGTTAAAGGCCCTTGAGGGCCTTCCTGCTAAAAATTCTGCCAAAAATGTTTTGATACATATGGGATCTCTATTTTTATAATAATCTTTTATTTTTATACATCTTTGGGGGGGGATAGATGTCTAGTAGATATGGACATTTTACTCACTTTCTTATATCTTAACATGATTCTAAATTGCTTTCCTGAATAACTGGACCAATTCATAGCTCTACAGGTAATTTCTTAATACTTCTGTAGGATCCCCTTGAGGGCAAGAATTGTTCTATAACTTTGTTTATATATCTCTAAGGCCCAGTAGAGTGCTTTGGACATAGTAGGCAATTAATAAGTGCTTATTGATATTGATTAGATGTTCTCACAGGTCTCTTCCAGCTCTAATATCCTATGATTTTTTTCCATTGTAGGTGTTTATTCACAAATGAGTTAACTGAATTTAGGTCTGTGCTCTGAAGTGAAAAACATAAAGTCATAAAATATTAGAGTTAGAAGAGACATTAGTGGTAATCTGCTGTAATATCTATAACATTCCTGGCAATGGCAATGATCTAATCTTTTCTGGAATTCTTTCAGTGACAGGAAGCTTACTACTTCACAAGGCAACCAGTTAAAATTTTTGTTCATATCTTTTATTTTTACATCACCTATATTTCTCAATAAGCCACTTTCTATCCTCCTCTCAGAGTACCATCCCTCATAACAAAGAATAAAAGGACAAAAAAAAAATAAAACAGTTTAGCAAAACTAATCAATACATCAACCTAGTTTTATATTATATATAGTGTTCCTCACTCATAGTACTCCTCTTTTCCAAAGAAAGAAGAGAGGTGCCTTTTAAAGCCTCTTCTTTGGGCTAATTTCATTGAATTATTTAAATTATTTTCTTCTTGTCCTTTCTATTTATACTGTTGCAGTCATTGCACGTATATTATTTTCCTGATTCTTTTTACTTTACATTGCATCTGTTCATATACATTCTACCATGATTTTCTATGTCATGCTGACTCTTTTTCACAGCACAGCACAAGTAAATTTATGTAGCATACCTTTTTAATCAAGTCCCCAATTTGTAATGTTTCCAGTATTTTATTACTCTAAAAAAGTCCTACCAAAAATATTTTAGTATATATAGGATCTTTGGGATAGTTGCCTAGCAAATATAGACATTTTAGTCACTTTCTTAACATGTTAACATCTTAATATGATTATGAATTGCTTTCCTGGATAGTTGGACTAATTTATAGCTCCACAGTTAATTTCTTAACTTTTGTAGCATCCTGTTTGAACTTCTCCTCAAGTCTTATTCATAGATTTGCAGATTGAGTCTCCAGGAGAGTGACTTCTTCAGGATTCAAGGAATATACCCACCCCTAAAACTATATGAACCCTCACAAGTGACCTCATCAACAATCAGCTAATAGGGGCAGCTAGGTGGTGAAGTGGATAGAGCACCAGCCCTGAAGTCAGGAGGACCTGAGTTCAAATCTGGCCTTAGACTAAACACTTGACACTTATGAGCTGTGTGACCCTGGGCAAGTCACTTAACCCCAATTGCCTAAAAAAACAAAACCAAAAAAAAAATCAGCTAATAGGAACAATTAGTTCTTAAAAATGCATTTACCAAGATAACAAAATAAAAACAATAGTTATAATAATATTTCTAATCCTGGGGCACAATATTCCTCAAATACATATAGCACCCATGAGAAGAGAAGGTTAGAGTACATTGTAGGATACACATGTGTCAATGAAACTCACAACTTCTTTCATGGCAGGACTTGGAAGTCCTTTCTTTTTTTGTAGAATCCTCACATAACTTACCTTGAGTGCATCATCTATACTTAGGAGGTTGCTCAGTTGAGTTCCCAGTTTCTATTTCTCTCCTCAGTTCAATTCTTGATTGTTAGGGTTAGCTCTCTCTTGAGTCCATACCTGGACTTCTTGGCTTCCAGGAGTCCTGTTTCTTGAAGCTGTGTCCTTCTTTGATTGATTGCCTGTCTGTATCCATGTCTGAATGGAAAACATCTTTGCTTCCTCAACTGCATTTTGAGCTCTCTCAAGTCAACAAACTCTTGAACTGCTGAATGGGCTATCTTCTTCGGGGAAGTTGTTTCTAGACACCATGGTATTAAAATCTCTGAGTCTAAAAATATGTGCTGTGCCTCCAAATTAAGAAACTTCAACAACAGCAACAACAACAACAGCAGCAACAATAACAACAAGAACAACAAGCAGTCAAACATCAAGGCAGCAGAAAGACTCTCACCTGATAGGTCATTGCCATGTTGTCTTGAATATTTTGGTACCTAAAGGAAATCACTGTGGTGATTTGATCACTTATGAGATAGATTTCCAATGAGAATTCTAGTTTATATTTAATTTAATTATTTTGATGTGTGATGCAAATTAGTGAATATATGTTATAGGTTCTCCCATCCTCCCCTCCCCCCAAAAATAAACCAAAAAAAATTCTGAAGTGAAGGTGTTTCTCTGAGCCTCAAGAAATTCAAATTGGGAATCACAGCTTGAGAACTCTAGCTGTCTGCCACAGTGTGCATATTTCAAATGAATCTTCTGAAATGTTGTTTTCATTTCTATACAGATGCCAAGTTGTTGACCACCTTCATTTAAAAATAATGATGGAAAAGGGATGGCTTAATATTTCTTGTTTCCCAATATTAGCTTATATAACCACACCTCCATGGACAAAGCTTCCTAATGTTAGAGAATACAGTGATGATGATCAGAGCTGGCAGAAAGACAGCAGTAACACTGAATAGTTTAACTATGCCTGAGGGTGATGCTGAAATAGCTGCCAAAATTAAGTTGTATAGTATGGTATAGTGATACTGAGAGAATAGTTGGAGGGGGGTGGGATTGTCAACTTTAAAGGCAAATAGGTCATTTCTTTCATTTTGATTACATGTTTATGTTCAATATAAACTCTATAGTCAAAACTTCCATTTTTCTTAAATTCATTTATTGATGTTTTGAAGAATGAGTTTCCTTGGGAAGGGGAGGGGTAAAACTATTTGAAGAACTGGTTTGGGTCATTTCAGTGAAGGGAGCCTCCCAAAAAGTTTTTAGATCTTAGATTATTCCCAGTGAACTATTTGAATAAACTATTTTAAAACACTATTTAAATAACATCTATTCTATGAAAAATCTAATGTAAAGTAAGCAAAATATGTACTCTTAAAATGTTGTTTTTTTTTCTAGATGGATAAACAAATGGGAAAGACACTGAGAGATTAGATGATTTGCCCAGGGTCACACAATGAGTTTATGGACCTTCCTAACTCCTACGTTTCTACCCTCTACCACATTCACTCTTATAGTATGGGAAAGAACAATTAGTAAATACATTAGAGTTCTACATATACTTGCTATTTCAAAGATCCCTGATTTTATCTGCATTTTTACTCCTGCCACCTCATGCCTGTACATTAGTAAATAATCTTCATTACTTTCTACGACTGAAAAAAATCATCACCTGGTGGTCAACCTTCTGGCAATAAAGCTCTTCAAACTTATTTAGTTTTATCTTTGGACAATGGACATAAATTCTATCCCTGAGTCCATACTTAAAGCTTTTCAAGTTTGGTAGGACTTGCAAAGGCTAATGGTTAAGTGTTGTAGTTTTTTTTTTTTTTTTTTTGGTGAGGCAATCGTGGGTAAGTGACTTGCCCAGAGTCACACAGCTAGTGAGTGTTATGTGTCTGAGGCTGGATTTGAACTCAGGTCCTCCTGACTCCAGGGCCAGTGCTCTATCCGTTACACCACCTAGTTGCCCTGTAGGGAACCTGAAAGGCTTCTTGTATTATACATATATATATTTTTTTGGTGAGGCAATTGGAGTTAAGTGACTTGCCCAGGGTCACACAGCTAGTAAGTGTCAAGTATCTGAGTCCAGATTTGAACTCAGGTTCTCCTGACTCCAAGGCTGAAGCTCTATCCACTGCACCACCTAGCTGCCCCCTTGCTTTAGTTTTCAAAAACTGAGATGGTGCCCATTAATTGGGGAATGGCTGAATAAGTTATGATATATGATTGTGATGGAATATTACTGTGTGGTAAGAAATGAAAGGGATAATGGTTTCAGAGAAACCTGGGAAAACTGTATGAACAAAGTGAAGTGAGGAGAACCAGGAGACTAATTTATATAATAAAAACAATATTGTAAAAAACATTTTTGAAAGATTTAATCTGATCAACAAAATGACCAACCATAATTCCAGAAGGTTCATGATAAAACATGCTACCCACCTCTATATAGAGAGGTGATCAACTCAGAGTCCAGATTGAAGCATTTTTTTTTTCAGGACATGACTAATGGGAGAATTTATTGTGATTGAATATACATGTTTATAGTGGGTTTTGTTTTTCTTGATTTTTCAATGGAGGAGGAGGAGGTGGAAGAGAATTTGTAGCAGAAAATACAATTCAAAAAAGAATGAAACTATCCTCTCATATACCTACTTTCTCCTTTATGATAAAAACCTTGTTAATGGTCTATTAATGAACTGAAGATATCCTTGATGAAGCTATGAGAAAGAAACATGTAGACTTTTGCATGGAGACTACATCTTTGCAGCTACACATTAACTCAGAGGTATCTTAGAGTTAATTAAGCAAGACTATATGGTCTCATTGTGTCTAGTTTTGGTTAATTAAAAAAAAGCATTTGACTTAGTAGAACAAAATTTAGCCTTATAGGTTCTCAAACAAGATGTCTCCCTTGCATATATTAAAATCATTCAAAATTCTAGGATAGATTAAACTTTATTCAGTGATCCTCAGGATATTAAAATCAAGCAAGGCATCAGTCAGGAAGATATATGTAAATGAAAGCTAAACTTTGCAAAGTCCAGGTAGAAGAGGGATTCCTTAGTAAAGAATGCTTTGGATGCTCCCATTTGCAGATGATAGTGTAATGATTGTATGGAGCTCTGGAACACTACTTGACCTCCTAGAGAGATTCATGATCCAGATTATCCCAACCAACCAGATGGGAAAAACAAAGTTCACAAGGAAAGTATATATTGCCCAAATTATGTCATGCTATTAGATGGATAGCTCATTGAATTGATCTATAATAAATAGATACTACAGGTAAACAAGAATCTTGGCCAGGAGTTGAGTAGAAGTTGAATCAAGATTTAGAGCTGGAAGGGACCTTAGAAGTCAACTATTTCAGTCCCTTCATTTTATAGATAGGGAAATGGAGAACTTACACAGATAGTAAGTGAAAGATTTGAACTCAGATTCAAATTATTGATTACTTAAGTATCTTTTTCCTTGGGCCATTTTTTGTTGTTGAGAAATCATGTTCTTTCAATGATTACACAACAAAATTTCCCACAAAACCTACCTTTCTAATACCAATATTCTCTTAATGATTCCATATAACTGTGAATCTTAACACACTATGATGCCAGAAAAAACAATGCAAGTGTACAGAGAATTAGCTTGATCCCATATCAAAGATTTGTGGATATACATAGGTAAGAATTACACAGATTCAAAGAATGAGATTGTGAATGAATTGTGGTCTATATCTAAAGAGAATGTACCTAGGCTGATTGAGATCATGTATCTATTCAAGTATTGATGATGGTACTTTGAAAAATGTTATTATGTACTATTCATTCATTCATTCATCAAATTCATTCAAATTTCTATGAATTTAAATAGTACATGCCACTTGCTTTGGAGAATGCTAGTATAAGGCAAAACCCAGATCTCAAGTTGTTTAGCATTTATTTTAAGAGATAAAATCTATATGAAGTTTTGCATATACATAAGGTGATACATAACTAAAGGACAAAGAGAGTGTGCCACAAGCTATAAATACTATAGGAATTCAGATAAGGGATAGATCAATGTGGATTGGAATTGCCTTGGAAAGCTTCAATGAGTGGGTGGAATTTTCAGATGGGTTTTGAAGGAGGGCTATAATGTTGCATAGGCAGAGAGAAGAGGAGAGCACATTCTATTCAGGTGACAATGATTAGCAGTAATGGGGAAGCAGAACTCTGTTTGGTATAGAATTAAAATGAAAAAAAAAAAGGCCAGTCTGGCTGGAAGTAGAGTGCTGATTTTATAAAATAGTTGTGGGCCAGCATGCTGGCAGAACTACTCTACCAGCCCCCTTAAGCCTACAACACAATCCCACTGTGCTGTAAGAGTTTGAGTTAACTTTGCCTCTTGGTGGATTGATGTGGGACCCAGCTGTGGGACCATTGGGCAAGGACATTAAAAAGTCACCTGTAAAACTTCAGTGATGAGCTCTTGAAAACTCAGAGAACTTCCTTGTTCAGTGATTTTTAGCCTTTTTGCCTGTGGCTTTTATTTGCTTTTATCTTCCTGTGAACTTTTTTAACTATGTTGGGGACTTCTTTACCAGGAGGTATGTAAATATGTTTTACTAAATGCATTGATCCAGTGCACCAGACCTGGGTTCTAAATAGGAAAATAAGATTTGGATAATTTGAATGGGGATAAATTGTGAAAGGTTTTGAAAACTAGTATGAAGAGATTGTACTTGATTCATTTGTCCAATAAATAGCTATTGAAGTTTTTGGATTAGAGAAATGACATGATGAAAATGGTGTTTTCACAGGCAGTCAACAACAATGGCAAAGCAAACATAGAATTTTGTATGAGGCTGTTCAGGGGGATCATTGACAGGAGCCCTGCCCTTGAAGACAATTGAGAAGACAGAATATATGTGTGAAAAATACAGAAACTTTTACATATGCGATCATTTCAAAGAAAAGAAGAAGCTACTGATAATGATTAATGTCTACATGTGGCAATAGCTGAGTTAATGAATAAGAATTTATTTGACTCCCACTATGTGTTAAGGACTGTGATAAGCCCTGTGGGTAAAAACACAAAATTGTAATGGTCTTTGCTCTCAAAGAGTTTTATATTTTATTGATATATATTCTGCATATCATATTTATTAGTATATCTACAGAATATTATATGAGTATATAATATTATAGATAATATTTCTCTATACAATAATAGATATATACAGAATATTATGTAGGTATATACATTGTTTTACACAAGGTCATAGAAGGAGGATGTTAGCAATAGGAGAATCAGGAAAGGCTTCACATAGAAGGTGGCCATAAAGAAACTAGTGTGAAACTAAGAGCATTTTCTATAACCTGTTATCTGAAATGGGTGCATATGTGTGTGTGTGTGTGTGTGTGTGTAGGAGAGGGTTGCTGGGTATGGAGAAAACAGAGAAGAATTTGAGAGCTCTAAGTGAAAATCATAAGTGGATCTATTTGATCTATCACCAGTTGTCCTGATTTTTGTCTTGCCACTGGACTTTGATGACTCTGGAAGAGAGAGTGAGGCTGATAACTTTGTACAACTCTGTCTCACTTAAATCCAATTCATTCGTGTCAAGACATCACCCTGAGATGTTATTGGTTCTCTTCAAAACAAAAGACAAACAATATTTGTTGATACATCAAGGACCTGTTATTTCATGGTATAGTAACTCCCCTCTCACCAATGGAGATTGCAATTATCATAAGAATAGCCACTTATTGTCTCAAGGGAATTGCTTAAGATTTAGAGATGTTAAATGTCTTGCCCAGGGTTACACAAGGTATAAATATAAGATGGACTTGAATCTAGATTGTTCTGACTCCAAATCACAGAATCTTGATCATACTTTATGTTAGATCAGCTCTCTCTACTGCACCACATTGTTGTTCACACTAACAAGATACAAGTGATACTTACCTGTATGGTCTTGGACAAATCATCTGATCCTTCTGGCATGCTGCTCCACTGCTCCATCAATGCTCCAGAGCCTGGTATGCTGGCATATTCTATCCACATTCTAAGTGTGCCCATACTCCCTGGGACGCTGTTTAAAATGAAGGAGCTGGACTAGATGGCAATTGGATGCCTTCCTAGCTTTAGATCTGTGATCTTATGAAACTATGAAATCTGGTAATAATAATAACTAGCATTTATATAGCACTTTAAGGTTTGTAAAGCAGTTTACAAATATGATCTCATTTATTCTTATAACAACCTTAGGAGGTGGGTACTATATCCCCATTTTATAGAAGAGGAAGCTGAAGCAGACAGAGGCAAAGTGACTTATCCAGGATCACACAGTTTGTAAGTGTCTGAGGATGGATTTGAAAGTCTTCCTGATTTGAGGTTGAGTGCCTACTGTACCTACCATCTGACTGCCTCAATAAAGAAATACCAACGATAACTTTGAAAAGGAAAAGAAATTACAAATTTCAAAATGTAGAATGAGAATTGTGGGGAAGGGAGCAGGACCTATCATAAGATGTCCTTTGGTGATAGTAGAGGAGATCACCGTTTGTATATAATTGCTTAAAGCTGGTTTCCCCCCCCCAAAACATCAGCTGGTAAACTTACCTCCTTATTCCTTGTTACTTTTTTTCCCTTCAGAATGACTTCACTACCTTATCACTAAGGTAGTATTGAATGCCTCAAAGTATAGGGGTCTAGGGTGACTGCCCTGATTTTCTATAGCTAGGGTTAGCTGTGATTGCAGTCACTGCTTCCAGAACTGATCTCTATTAAACCCTTTAACCTGGCACGACAAATGATACTCACGTAAGAAAAACACATTGTTGGTTCCTCTAGCAGGGGCAGGGATGTCCCCTATAGGTCATGTGCTATTGCCAGGTAATTTGAGTCAAGGACTAGTTTCATTAGATATTGATGTGTTGTTTCAGTTGTGTCTGACTCTCTGTGACTCCATTTGGGGTTTTCTTGGTTAAGGTACTGGAGTGGTTTGCCATTTCCGTCTTCAGTTCACTTTTACAGTTGAGGAACTGAGGCAAATGGAGTGACTTGCCTTGAGTCACATGGTTAGTAAATGTCTGAGGCCAGATTTGAATTCATGGGAATGAGTTTTCCTGACTCCAGGCAGGCTACTCTATCCACTGGACCACCTAGCTGCCCAATATATTAGCTAATTTCAACCAGTTGAGGATTACAAGGTAGATTACAAGCCAGGGTTGGAGTTCTCTTGCTGGTTCATATAAATTGATATAACACATTTACATACTCCTTTAAGGTTTACAAAATACTCTCTTCCCTATAATCTTGTGAAGTAGTTAATGCAAACATTTTAATTTTGACTGTATTGTTTTAAAGATGAAAGTTTGATAACTTGTCTGTGATCACACAGCTAATAGGTGGTAGAGCCAAGATTTAAGATCAGGTCCTTTTTCTATGGCTCTGTTACATCACACTGCTCTGAGGTGAGTAGGCAGACCTTTCCTTGGGTTCTGTTGAAAAGTTAAGGGCACTTGGTGCTCTCAGCTGCAGCTGGATGGATGGTCTTTGAATGAATAAATTAGAAAACATTTATTAAATAATTACTCTATGCCTTTATCTGAGACACTGGTTGTAAAAATTCTTTCCCAGTTTTCTGCATCCCTCCTAATCTGGGTTGCATTGGTTTTGTTTGTGCAAAAACTTTTCAATTTAATGTAATTAAAACTGTTCATTTTGCATTTCATAATGTTCTCTATCCCTTGTTTGGTCATAAATTCTTCCCTTCTTCATAGATCTGAAAGGTAAACTATTCCTTGCTCCTCTAGTTTGCTTATCGTATCAGTCTTTATATCTAAATCATGTATCTATTTTGACTTTGCCATGGTATAGGGTGTAAGATGTTGGTCTATGCCCAGTTCTAATAAAACCAGTTGACACATGATAACCAGGTGATCCATAGAACCATGTGAGTGTGGAAAATCTCTGGAGTTGAATAGAATTAGCAGAGGAAGGTCTAAGACTACATATGCTCAGAACACTTTTCATTTATGTACATACAATCAGTTACAGGGAGATTTTTTAAAATTCTGGCTTTATTTCTTAAAATATGATGATTGAGCTGTCTATTAAGAAGCAAAAGGAGGATAACAAAGTAATGCAATTATTGTCAGTTACATTTGGCATAGGTTTTAATTTTGAGGAAAATATTATTTATGTCCGAGGTCTGATTTCAACAGACACAGAAATTCTTGGTGATAGCCACATGGAATCAATGAGTTATAGAAAAGAAGATGATTTTTGAACAGCTTTAGTATAGTTCAATGACTGCTAGATATATACCTAGCAATTATTAGGGAAGCCTTCCGCTGGAAGGCTGAGCCACTTCTCTGGGTTCCTTCAGTCCTTAATTTTGACCTCCGTGAAATTGTTATGTGCTTGATCCAAAGAGCCCAACTCCCTTTGCAGGGTGAGTGAGGTAATTTCTTCCTGACCTATAAACTCAGCGACTCACATATATAGATTACAACATAACCAAATGACCCTGAAAATCATGTAACAGTTTGTTTGATATCTTGTCTAATATCATCTCTTTGCAAGTTATATGGTTATGAGATGTGGGCTGTTTTCCTCTACATCTCTATCTACTGGAAGCCTTTCCTTTTTTTCAAGAGCAAGTTCAGTTACTACCTGCTTCATGAAGCCTTCCCTGATCTACTTCTTGAATTTTTCATGCCACCTTATTTGTCCTTCTCTTATGTGCCTGGGTGGGCATACACCTACTCACACTTTCCTCCTCCTCCATGAATATCTATCTATCTATCCATCTACCCATCCATGCATCATCTATCTATCTATGTACCTACCTACCTATCTATCTATCGATGTATTTACTAGACTTATGATTTATTTCATTGGTGTGGGAGAGTATTCTGATGATATATGATTAAGCAGATTAGCATATATTTTCTAATTTATAGACAATGAGTTGTTTGGGATTGGGATGGGACAAAAAGAGGTTAAATGATTTGCCTGGTATGTGTCAGAGGGTCTTAGAACTTAGGTCTTCCTGAGTTTAAGTCTAGCTCTCTCTCCAGTATACCACATGACATCTAATGCATTTATGTTATAAGCTGTATTTTATTTATTTGTGCACCTCTCATTCTTCTCCTTGTCCCTTCCTCCCAACACTGCACTGGAGGCTTCCTGAAGGGCAGGGCCTACTCTACTCTCTTTTTAATCTTTGTATCACCAGTGCCTAGTGTGGTGAAATTTGGGTACTTAATAGATGGTTATTGATTTAATTGCATTGAATTAGTTGCAGAATATACAAGCTCTCTGTTTTTCTTTATTTCTGGATTTTTTTTAGGCTTGGAGAAAGTAGTGATTATGCTTCTGTTTGGTGCTGCCCTTAAAAAAAATTCTACTTATATTTCCACTGATGATGTCACACTTGACATTGACAGTCATTCAATTATGAAGTATAATGGTAGGAGAGCCAGTGTGGGGTGATCAAATCCATGCTTGTCTTGGAGTCCCAGATGCCCCATGTTATATTCCTGCCTCAGACATTTACTATCTGTGGGACCAGAGGCAAAACATTTATCTTCTCTACCTTCTGTTTTCTCATCAAACTGGACTAACAATATTTATAGGGCCTATCTTATAGGATGGGGATGAGAATCAAGTGAGACAATATATGTAAAGTACTTTCAAAATCTTAAACTTCCATAGAAATTTTAGCTGATATTATAATACTTATAATATATAACAGTATATTATATTATAATAATATAGTATTATAATGCTGTTATTATACTAGACATTCATTGCCACTTGGCAGAGACAGAAAAGTTAACCGTCTTTGGTTATCCTTTCTTTGTAAATACAAAATCAAACTAATCATGATTCCTGTTCTTCCCAGGCACCTCCTCTCCCATGTTCCTTATTGTCAATTTAG